CAGGGGTGTGTGCGCGGTTCTGCCCCGCGGGGCTCATGGACGGCAGCACCCACGGCGCGGGATTTCTTCATCCGCGCAGACCTCACCTATTTTCTTTTTTTTCTTTTTTCTTTTTTTAATATGGATAATTGATATATTTTTGTTATTTTATATTTATTATTTATTTGGAACATAAGCCCAAGTCCGAGCAGTTTTTATCAGAGCCCTTCCTTGGGCTGGGCCCGTCGGTGGCGATGGCTGTGCCACCGCTGACAAGCCACCGGGAGCCGGCAGCTGGAGATAAGACCGGGACAAGGGCTGCAAACCCCCTCGGCGACCGGGAGATGAATTTGGGGTGCGTTGTGGGTAGCACCTTTCAGCTGTGGGGTGTGCGTGGCTTCGGCATCCCGCAGCGGTGCCTCTTTCCATTCTCCAGGGCTCTGCGTCATCGTCCACTACCTTGTCCGCGGGCAGCTGGGCTGGTTGGGGCTGACCATCGCCTGCACGGTGCCTGGCTACGGGGCTCAGCTCCTCAGCATCCTCTGGTTCAGGGCAGATGGCCGCCCGCCTGGCTGCTGGCTCCTGAGCCTCCACCTCCTGCAGTTGGGCCTCTGGAAGCGGTGAGAGATGCTCCCCATGGTCCATCCAGCCCCCGCTCCCAACCTGGGTTCAGTCCCAAAACCAGGGTGGACTTCACCGTCATGGTGGTTCTTGCAGGTACTGGGATGTCTTGCGGATGGCAGCAAAGACGGGCGGCAACGCCTGTGCCGGGGAGGTGCTGACACAGCACTGGGACGTGTGTGTGCTGCGGCTCCTGGAAGCCCTGCTGCAGACCCTGCCTCACCTCCTGCTGCAGGCCTATGTCGTCGTGGCAGTCGAGCCAGCCGGTGTCATCCCAGGTGAGCGGGGAGTTGCCAGGAGGATGCTGCGAGTTGCAGATGGGTGATGCCAACTGGGGGAGTTTCACTAAGGGCAAATTCCAGGGGCTGCCCTTCAGCAGTGCTACAGGTTTGGGGAGTTGTGGCTGGAGAGCTGCCAGTCAGAGAGGGACCTGGGGGGGGTGATTTACAGCCTGCTGAACAGGAGCCAGCAGTGTGCCCAGGGGGCCAAGGAGGGCAACGGCATCCTGGCTTGTGTCAGCACTGGCGTGGCCAGCAGGGACAGGGAAGGGATCTGAGCCCTGGGCTCGGCACTGGGGAGGCCGCCCCTCGATTCCTGGGTTCAGTTTTGGGCCCCTCACCCCAAAAAGGCCATTGAATGACTCGAGCGTGGCCAGAGAAGGGCAACGGAGCTGGGGCAGGGTCTGGAGCACAGGTCTGCTGGGGAGCGGCTGGGGGAACTGGGGGGGGTCAGTCTGGAGCAGAGGAGGCTGAGGGGAGACCTTCTGGCCCTCTGCAACTTCCTGCCAGGAGGGGGCAGAGAGGGGGGATGAGTCTCTTCAACCAAGTAACAAGCAATAGGCCCAGAGGGAATGGCCTCAAGCTGCACCAGGGAAGGTTTAGACTGGATATTAGGAAGTATTTCTTTCCAGAAGGGGTTGTTGGGCCTTGGAATGGGCTGCCCAGGGAGATGGTGGAGTCCCCATCCCTGGAGGGGTTGAAGAGTAGAGTCGGCATAGTGCTGAGGGATCTGGTGTAGTTGGGAACTGTCAGTGTGTGGTTAATGGTTGGACTGGATGATCTTCAAGGTCTTTTCCAACCTAGACGATTCTGTGATGGCTTGTCGGGTCGGGGACACATGTGCCCACCTGGCAGGGAGCAGCAGGGTAGGCTCTGGATGGAGGAGCATGCTGCAAAGGGGCTAGAAAGCCCCAGTGCAAAGCAGCAGGGACAAATGTGGCTTAAAGATCTGATGTGGCTGAACCCAGAGGAGTCTCTGAGCTAAACCATGGCTGCTCCTGGCCAGTACAGTCAGTCCCCGCCATGGGGACCTCCATGGCAAGACAGTGCCTTGGCTGGGTTTGAACCCAACACACGTTCCTATTGATGGTCCAGCCCTAATCACAGGCAATGCGGAGCATTTAGGGTTTGGGGGATGCTTTGTAGAAAAGGTGGACTGTCAAGTGTGCAAAGGAAGAAGCTGGGGTGTGGAGTCACAGCGTGCACAAGGTCACACTCCAGTCGGTGCCAATCTCCAGCCCAATCGCAGTGACCAGAGATGGACCTGCCCTGTTGCGGAAAAGCTCTGCCTGTGGCAGAGAGCAGTCAGAGGGTTTAAGCAGGGGAGTGCTGAGCATGCAGAGGAGACCAGATTCAGCAGGAGTTGGTTAAAATACTCCAGTTGGCAGGGCAGCACGGTGTCTGGCTTGTATTGGGGTGCTGTACTCCTTAACACTGAGATATGGTCACAGAATCCCAGAACCATTCAGGTTGGAAAAGCCCCTCAGGATCATCAAGTCCAACCCTCAGCCCGACTCTACAAAGTTCTCCCCTACCCCACATCCCCCACAGCTCATCCCAACGGCCCTGAAACCCCCCCAGGGATGGGGACTCCCCCCTCCCTGGGCAGCCTGTTCCACTCTCGGACCACTCTTGCTGGGAAACATTTTCTCCTCCTGCCCAGCCTGACCCTCCCCTGGGGCAGTTTCCAGCCGTTCCCTCTTGTCCTGTCCCTGATCCCCTGGGAGCAGAGCCCAGCCCCAGCCTCTCTGCAATGTCCTGTCAGGAGCTGCAGAGAGGGATGAGGGCTCCCCTCAGCCTCCTCCTCCTCACCCTGAACACTCCCAGCTCCTTCCCTGGCTCCTCACAGGATTGATTCTTCCAGCCCTTCCCCAGCCTCGCTGCCCTCCTCTGCCCTCGCTCCAGCCCCTCCAGATCTCTCTGGGATTGAGGTGATACTGAGGTCCTCTCAACACAGGCGTCCTTCAGGCACCCGACTATCCCTTCCCTGTGCAGGTGTCAGTGCGGGGCTGTCCCTGCTCTCCCTCGCCTGGGCTTTGGTCTCCTACAGCCGCTTCGCCTGCCAGCTGAAACCCGGACGCCTCTGCCTGCCGGCCACGGCCATCCTCTGCCTGCTGCTGTGGAGGACAGGGATGCTGGGGACCAGGGTCCTGGCCCTGGTGCTCTTCGCCAGGCTGTATTCCTTCTGGGTTTTTGCTGTGGCAGGTAAGACCTGTGAGATCCTCTCCCCCATGTCCCATCCTGCTGTCAGCCCCAGAGATGCTCCTGGTACTGGAGCACTGTGCAGCCTCCCCCTGGCACAGCTTTGCCCTTTCGGTCCCTTCCCCTTGCAGGTGCCCACTGGCTGCTCATGTCCTTCTGGCTGGTGGCCCAGCAGACTGACATCGTGGCCCAGCCCTGCCGCTGGAGGCTCTTCAATTGCCTGGTGGGAGCTGTGTACATCTTCTGCTACGTTAACGTCCGGCCCGGTCCCTCCAGGCACAGAGTGGCCGTGTTTTATGCAGTAAGTACCCAGGGTGTTCGATATTCCACATGGATGCAGCTGCTGGGGAAAAGCAGTAGCCTCAGACTCTCCTTTCTCATCTCTCACATCACCACTCGATAAAAATCGAGCATTCCCCATGTCCTGACAAAGCTACGTGGTCACCAAGGTGGGTGCACCCTCTACGCTGGCTTTGTGTTCTTAGCAGCCGCCATACAACGGCTGAGCAACAGGTCGAGACCTTGCAGAAAGTTCAATTCAGCAACGTTTATGTTTTAAGTGGTAAGTTAGGTGCAAAATACATCAGCAGAATCTAGGAACTGCTTGTTTTCTGTCATCAGAAGCACGTCTAAAGCTATCAGAAGGGTAAAAGTGACAACTCTCTTCTCTCTGCTCTGCAGATAATGCTGATGGAAAACACCCTCCTCCTGCTGCTGGCCACCCGGTTCCTGCAGGCAGAGCTGAGGAACAGCCTGTGCGTGACCGGGGCCGTCATGTCAGGGTCTGTAATAGGTAAGACCTGCTGGTTTTTCAAGCCCAGATTGCATGTTTTGAGAGTAAATGAGCATCATCGGTTATTTTAGTTGCATCACACTGTTTGCTTTATTTCTTCCAGCTTAAGCATCTGAATGTATTTAATAATATGTAAATCCACCCCGAGTTTCACTTCTTCATCATTTCTTAAAAAGCCTTTCCTTGAAAGAGGGAGGTTTGCAGAAATGACCAAGATGTCACCAAATGGCTCAGGTACCTCTACCAAATAGAGCATATGCAATTTTGAAGCACATGTCTGTTTTCTGTGATCTTGGAGCATTTAATTCAGTCATAGAATCACAGAATGGTTTGGGTTGGAAGGGACCTCGAAGATTGTCTAGTCCCACCCCCCTGCCATGGGCAGGGCCACCTTCCACTAGCCCAGGTTGCCCAAAGCCCCGTCCAACCTGGCCTTGAACCCTTCCAGGGAGGGGGCAGCCACAGCTTCTCTGGGCAACCTGGGCTAGTGGAGAATTTCTTCCTTACATCTCATCTAAATCTGCCCTCTTTCAGTTTAAGGCCATTACCCCTTGTTATGTCATTACATGCCCTTGTAAAAAATCTTCTCTGGCTTTCTGTAGGCCCCCTTTAAGTACTGGAAGGCTGTCATGAGGTCCAGAGCCTTCTCTTCACCAGGCTGAACAATCCCAAACCCGGGCAAATTCCCTACAGCTTTAATGCACAACTCAGTTGAAGAAGGGGAGAGGTTGTACGATGCTTGCAAACAACCCATCAGCACCTTTATTTGCAAAACCGGCGCTGAGCAAGGACGGGAGTTTTGCAGCCCCAAAGACGGGCTGTTTGCTGGGTGAGGTCCCTGCCAGGGTGATGTTTTCCCAGAGCTGTGCCCCTATCAGTCTGCAAATCAATCCAGATTAAATTCAGTCTTGAGAGTGTGTTCAGCATTCCCTTTCCTGAAAGCTGCTTGAGTAGGATTCTTGCATCCCTAAAAATGCTTGAAAGACATGCTGCTCGGACACCTGATGCCCAGCAGCACCTCTGCAAAGGGCCTGTTGATCCAGAGGTGGCAGTGAGGTGACAAGAGGGAATGGCCTCAAATTGTGCCAGGGAATGTTTAGACTGGATATTAGGAAGCATTTCTTTCCAGGAGGGGTTGTCGGGCATTGGAATGGGCTGCCGAGGGCAGGGGAGGAGTCCCCATCCGTGGAGGGGTTGAAGAGTCGGGTCGACTTTGTGCTGAGGGATCTGGTGGAGTTGGGAACTGTCAGGTCAGTGGTTGGACTGAATGATCTTCCAAGTTCTTTTCCAACCTAGATGATTCTGTACTTCTGTGAAATTCTGCTGGGACTTGTCCTTTGACACCTTTCTGCTTTTTTTCAGGTGCCGCAGCTCTGGTGGTTTATTACAGCCTGCTCCATCCCAAGTCCACAGAGATCTGGCAGGGCTTTCTGGAGACAACCTGCAGTGCTGCAGCTGCTGATGATGACGAGTTTGCTGGAGATGGCTCCCAAGCAGGGCAGAGTTTGGGAATTTCAGGAGATGGAGAGTCCTTGGCAGGCAAAGGGACCGTGGCAGATCCTAAGAATGGGAATGGCTCATCGCTCCTACAATTCAGAGGGTGTTTGGAGGACAGCTGGACAAACCATCACCACTGGCTGCTGGTAAAGCTGGCCTTGAAGACAGGAGATATGTCCACAATCAACGCAGCTTTTGGAGATGGTGGTGTGGGAGAGGTTTACCCTGGAGGGTGGATGATGGGGAAACCCCCCAGTGTTGAGCCTGGGGCAAACCTTTCCCTCCCCACAAGGGAAATCGGTCCTCGGGGTGTTGAATCTGGTCTGACTGATGAGAAATTGGAGGCGGTGGGGAACAGAGGAGGCAGCAAACCCAGCACCGGCGCTGTGAGAAAGGAATGGGAGGATGGAGCAGGGCAGGAGTCTGTTTTTCGCCCAGCTGTATCCTTTCTCAGCAGCTTCTCCCCAGATCCAGCCGAGGGCTCATCTCTGTATTTCACTGCAAGCGTGGGAGGCATCACCTCTCCCAGCCCGGGGACAACCACAGCAACGTGCATGGCCTCGGTGCAAAGGGAGAGCAAAGCCCAGCCTCCTCCAGGCAGCCTGGGAGGAGGAGGAGGAGGAGGAGGAGGGGATTTATCCCTAGAGATGGTGAGCATCAGCCCAATCCTGGGCGCTTGCGCCCACAAGCATCAGCGGAGCAGCTCTTCCCTCAGCAGCACAGGGAGCTGTGGGGTGTTGGGTGCCTCCAAAGAGGACTCGGAGCCCGTAGGGCTGGAGGGTGCCCTCGTGGGGTGGCATCACCTTCGGGACACCCACTCTTGTGGCACACAAGGGGCTGTTGTGAGGAGCAAGCTGAGGCCACCGTGCTTCACCTCCACCCCCAAGGCTGACTCTGAATGCCCACAGCGAGGACTGGGGCATCCCGGAGAGGGGACAGACCTGTTGGTGGAGTGACCCTGAAATCGCTGCACTGTCACTTTGGGTCAGCACTGGGGTGACTGCCTCGTCAAGAGGGCACAGCAAGAGGTGGTGGAATGTTAATGCTGGCTATGAAGACCATCCCCAAGGTGCACCTGCCACCAGAAAGATGTGCTCCTCCATCACTAGGACAACACCTTCCCTCCCAGCGCATCTTCTAGTTGCAGTTTTGGAGAGCTTCAAAGGTCTTAAAAAGCCTTAAGTTCAGGTTTAGGTATTTATTAACCTTATTTATGTAACAGTTCTGCTAGGCAGCTGGAGCATGCTGCCTTTGATATATTTGTGACGATGTATTCAAGTGTGTCCTTTAACAAGTGCCTGTACGAGCTGCTGGTCTGTCCCAGCACAGAGATCTGGCTGCAAAGCAGGAGTCTTCCCAGGATAAACAAGTGCCTAAACCAGAATAGTAATGATTTTTACTCTCAGATGCTCTTCCTTCTGGGCAGAATAAGCCCTAAAGTAAGGCTCAAGAGTGCTTGATTTATTTTTCCCCCACCAGGTTCATCTTCAGAGCTTTACCAGCTCCATTTGCTGGGGCCACATAGGATCGCAGATCCTCTTCATACTGCAGTCCTCAACCTCGGGACCCTGAACTGTAGACACAAGCCGTGTCCTGCTTTCTTGCCCACCGCCTCGCTTCCTCAAGTGGCCTTTTCTGCCCAGCCTCTTCCTTCACAGAATCACAGAATCATCTTGGTTGGAAAAGACCTTGAAGATCATCCAGTCCAACCATTAACCTCACACTGACTGTTCCCAACTCCATCACATTCCTAAGTGCTTGTCCTCTTCCATCTAGCTGCAGATAATCCAGATCTGACTGGATGCTCCTTCCTAAATTTAGCTTCAAGCCAAATCTCAGAATAAATCTGCATACTCCTGCCACCATGAAGTCCTCGTTGCAGGCAGGGTTATTGGTTATCAGGAACTAAAAGGCTTAATACTGTGGTCTCAGAAATAGCCCATGCTTCCAGCCAGGGTGTCTGGACACGGGTTTGTGCCCAGGACACGGCTTGCTGTGTTGGTTGAGGTCTGCTCAGCTGTGTTCACCAGTGAGCCCGTGGGTGCCAGCTGGTGTACATCTGTCCTCCATCTCCAGCTGTTGTCCTGCGGGCGTTGCCATGGGGCAGGAAAGGCAGCAGGAAGGACAGGCATGCGATGAATTATTTTTAAAAAGCTTCCATGTAGCATTGAGTGCTCAGGATTGACCCAGCAAGATGATTCTTCAAGCTGATGTGGGCAGTGAAAACCCAGTTGGTGCCCGTTTCAGAGTGAAGCCACTTTCCGACGTGGTGAAAGCTCCGTGTCTCCATCCGGAGCCGGCACCACCGTGCTGCAGCTCTGCTCTGCAGGGAGGAAGAAGTTTCAGCATCTTTTGCAGAATCCTCCCCGCTACGTGCATCACGCAAAAGGCAGCAGAGCTGCCATGGCGTTAGGGAAATTGTTACCTGGTTTGTTTTTTCTACCTTTGATAATATATAAGGATGCTTTAAAAAACAACCCAGCCTTTGCCGTGTCTGTGTCTAGTGTTAGGGGCACACACAAGCGTGGAGAGGTCCCCTCTTGGACCTTGCTGCAGGGGATGTTGGACCTTGAGCTCTTGCTGCTTTTCAAGCAAACCGCAGTGCAGCTTCCTGGCTGGATGTGACCTCGCCTCCTCCCCTCTCCTTTGCAACTCTGTTTTCCTGTTTTCTTAGATTTTTCTACCCATTCCGGTTCTACCCGCCTCCAATCAGGTTGTTTGTTTAACTGAGCAGGGTTTTTCCCTTTCTGCAGCTGGAGGGTGTACAAAAATAGGACACAGATACCAATAGGCACGGTACTCCATGCCTCTTCCTTTCTCTTCCCCGCACTTTCTCCTGCAGCCCCAGGATGAGCTGCCTGTTGGGATTTTGAAGAAGGATCTGCACCCAGCATCTTTCTAGCTGGGGGTGTCTGTCTGTGGGACCTGGGCGCATCGATGTGGCATGCAGATAGCAGTGGGTGGGGTGAGTTTAGCTGCTGTGGGCAAGTAACAGCTCAAGAGAAGCAGAGACGGCAAGCCAGACTCATTTGGGATGGGGATGCAGCCCTTCAGTGGCCAGATTTCTGTGCCAGGCAGCGGGTACTGGGAGGAAGGAGTGATTCCATCTTTCCTGTCCCATCTCTTGCCAGGGTGGGAACCCAAGTTCACTGGAGGGTGGCTGGTGGCGGCTGCCCCTGTCCCCCACCCCCTGACCCAGAGCAGGGTGAGTGATGCTGAACCAGGCAGTGGTGCCTGCTCACCCCATCCCCAAACCAGGACCGACTGAGTCTAGGACAAGAAAGTCCTTTCCCTCCCTCAGCAGGATCATTCTCTTCCTAACCCAGTGCCTTCCCTTTAGACTCTAGTAGATTGGTAATATTTGGGGTAGATTTTGAGCATTTGCTGCAGATAGTAAGAACATCCAAACCTAACACCTGAGGTCTGGCAGGTTGGAAAACAAGTTACCAACCCAAGGACCACAGCGCACAGCGTTGTGCTTGGTGGGAATCTCTCCTCGGATGCTCAACTCAAGCCACATCACATCTGCACTCTACAGTTGCAGTCCTACGTGCTGTAATCATCTGCACTGACTGCAAAAATCAAATGCTTAGTAGATCAAGTGATGGCTACCTAAATTATGGACTGCCCTCAAACCTGTGGTGGTTATCACGAGGCAAGATCAGGCAGGAAAAGCAAATGCATTCAGGGTTTGCTGTTCTTTCCTGGTCCAGGGCCTTGGGACACGGAAGGATTTATACCATCCTTGCTGCTCTTGTGAGTGATTTAGAAGTTTTTCATCTAATAAATACAGGGCTGCTGCTATTAACAGCAGACCACAGGCTTACCAGGGACTGTTGTGAACAGCCATGGGTCTGTTTTACCTGTAACTAAAAATTTCAAAAATTGGTAAGGGCCATGACAATGGTCGGGAGGGCTGTATCCTACAGCTTAAGGCTAGCTCTGTGGTGGCATGGGCTACCAGGAGATGGTAAAGGTCTGACAGTGCCGATCAGCCGTCAGGAAACTATCCCATGGGCCAGTTAGAAAAGAAAATATGGCCAAACTGACAATTTTAAGAAAGTAGAGAATACTTCTGGGCAGAGGAGTCGGGCGTACCTGAGGGTTTCCCAGAGCACATCCACAATGCAGAGAGGACCTGGAGAGGCCCCATGAGCTTGCACCTCTGACCCCAGAGGAGGTGGTTGTGGAAATCTTGGATGGGTTGAGGGGAGCCCCGGGGACAGCACCGGAGGGGGCATGATGGCTGGGTATGGGTGGGGGTGTAGGTGTGGGGGTTCTGTTCCCATGGCTTTGCTCCCTGATGACAGGAGGTGGTCACTGGTGAGATCCCGCCGTGCTCCCCCTCTTCTTCTCCGTGGCAGCGATGTGAAAGCAAGTGAAATAACATGGATTATCTGTCTTTAAAGACTTCCAGCCTGTGTGAGAGCCCTGTTGCATCCAAGATCCAAGTCCTGCATGCTGGCTACAAACCCAGCACAGAACCCACCTACAGGAATGACTTTGATTTAGTTAAGCCTAAAGCCCTGTTTGGAGAAAGAGGACTGTCCAGCTGCAAATCGCAGCTCCAGATACCCCTCCTCACCCTCCCCATCCCGGGGGTGCGGTGAGGAGACTCAAGATGCCCCAGTGACCTGGTGAACGTCCAGATTTTTCCCAACGCTGCCAGACTGAAGAAACCACTCTGGGGAGGTGTTTCTCCCCATAGCTCCTTGTTCCTCAGCCACCAGAGGGAGATGCTGCTCAAGGCCACAAAAGCAGACGCCTTGTTCTAGAAGCTGAGTGCCCGAGTTCTGGGAGGAGAAGGATGCTCAGGAGTGATGCTGCTGTGGCATTGCAGATGGGAGGCGGTGGGAGCAAAATGGGGGGCTCTGGAATACTGGAGGTGGCCGATACGATGCACAAAAAGTGCCTGGAGGAATGTGACCACAGCTGTAGGAGTCTCCTTCCACCTCCCCAAGCATCACTGGCCATGGGAAAAGTTCAGAAGCCCCTGCCAGGGTCTTGCCAAGGCAATATTCAGCAAGAGTCATATCCATCTGCAAATATCCCATGGTGATTTCAGGTCCAAAGGTGCACAGGGAGCTGCTACTGACTGCATTGGACGTGGCATGGGAACCTGCTGGTTCGGTAGAACCAGCTCCAGCTGTCACCACCACGGTGCTGAGTCCTGATGTTCACCCGTGAGGCTGTGCATGTGCACCCGGGCAGGTGCCACGGTCACTCCCTGCCCTGATCTGTCTTCACATCAACCCACGGGGCACAGAGGTCCCACAAAGCCCAGGTCACTCCTCTTTGGGAAGGAACATGTCCAAACTCAGAGCATGAGGCTGAACGAGAAAGTGCAGCTGGGGAAAAGTGCAGCATAAGGGGAAGGAACCAACTGCTCGGAGGAGCCAGCTGATATTTCCTCCAAGTGTCCCAAATGCTTGAGGAGACCCAGCCAGATCACAGAGTCATCTTGATTGTAAAGGACGTTGGAAGCTCCTCCAGTCCAACCATTAACCTCACCCTGACCGTTCCCAACTCCCCCAGATCCCTCAGCGCTGGCTCAGCCCGACTCTTCAACCCCTCCAGGGATGGGGACTCCCCCCCTGCCCTGGGCAGCCCATTCCAACACCAACAACCCCTTCTGGAAAGAAATGCTTCCTAATATCCAGTCTAAACCTTCCCTGGCGCAACTTGAGGCCCTTCCCTCTTGTTCTAAATCAGATCCTCTGCTCCTTCAGCGTTTCCCATGAAGTTCTTTTTGGATGAGATATGTTATCCTGAGCTAGACCTTAGGGTCTGCCCAGCCTTGGGGGATGCACATCACCAACGTCTGGGCTTCAGCGACCCGCAGAAGGTGTGGAGGGGGTGATATCTCCATCCCACTGCACTCAGACTGATTGTCCTGTGCTCTCGCCTGCTCAGGAATAGAAAATTTCTGCTCATTTGCCTCCTATGAACCTTTTTTGTTCATTTTGTTTTTTAAGGAAACCCTCTGCAGTGCTTTAGAGGGGCAAAGGCTCGTGCCCCAGAGCAGGAGAGCTCAGTGCCACTGATGAGAGGAGCTCTCAGAGCCTGCGAAAGGGCAGCGCAGGAGCGGAGAGCAGGAACCGACTGAATTTTGACAATGCAGGGAGTCGCCCGCGGGTTCCAGAGGAGAACTGGCTGTGCCACTCACCGGGGATCTGGATAAAGGAGTGAGCAGGCAGGAACGGAGGCTACGTCCCTAATAAATTAAACAACACCCGGGCAAGCTCCTGGGCTTGGGCACGTGGCTGTCCAGCCTGCTGGCACTGTCCCCTTGGCTTGTCATTTTTAATGGGTTACTCTCATCCCTTTTTCAAGGTGAAACAAAATAAAGCGGGTTGGGAAGGCACTGTCAGGGCACGAGGGTTGGCAGCAGTCCTGCCCCAGCCCTGCGGGGAGCTTGCCTGCCTTCCAGCAGCACCATTTTCCACCTCCCTCTGCAGCCCAGTTTCTAAGTGCTGCCCAGGGGTGACAGGTTTCGGGGTCAGCTTTGCTCCGTGAAAAATTATTCTCTCCAGCTCCGAGGTGATGTAACTAACCCCCCCCCCCGAACTAACCCGGGAAAGATTTACTCAGAAAGCCCATTTTTTGGCTTCCAAAAATATTGAAACACAATACTTGGATGTTACAGGGAAAAAAAAAAAAAAAATGTTTGCCGTGGGGTTGTTATTTGCTTGGTTTTTCCAAGCTGAAACTTTGGACTTTTTTGCTCCCCCCTAATTAAACAGTTTTGGTTTGTTGTAAATCCCTTTTTGATGTCTTTATTATTCCCGTAAATGGCTTGGCCCAGGCTGCATCTCCGTGCCCATCGCTCTAAGGCTAAACAATAACACGGAGGGGTAGGGGGGGGAGGTTCGCGGAGGGTAAACACGGCTAATCAGGACTTGCCTAATGCGAGCGACTGCTTAATGAGAACCCAGGGACTGTGCTTCCTGTGCTGGATTTGGCTGGAGGAAAACTCTTTGTGCTCTCCACACCAGGTTTGAGACGGCTCAGTTCCCTCCAACGGGCTGGAGCAGCGTTGCCTCCCTCCCGTGAATCCTCCCCTGCGGTGATGGGATGGGATCTCCGGCTGTGAGGGATCCCTGGGGATCTGGGGGTGATAAAGGATCCTGCAAGCTCAAGGATCCAGTGCTTGTTTTGCTTGAAGGGAGATCTTAAAACACAAAAACCCGTCTTCGTGCTTTGCTTTCTCTAGGCAAAGCCACCGCAGGGCCCTGCCCTGAATGTCCTTCAGGCTGCCTGGGGAGTTTTGTGGGGCATTTTTAGGGAATGGCTTTGATAAATAGCAGCCCCCGTGCCACCGCTCGGCACCGGAGACTCGGCTGAATCATTTTTCCATCAAAAAGTGAAGCGTCTGGTGGCGGCTCCTCCCCAGCTCCGGCCGGGATGCGGGTTTGGGAAGGGGGTGGGATGAGG